AAGATGTGATCAATACATGAATTCTCCTTTCTGAATCCTGCTTGCTCTTGACTTATTATGCTCATTATTATTATCAGGTGCCTTGCCGACTGGCGTGGGCGATCATGCCTCTCCATAATCCGCGATCTCCTGCAGCATGTATCAGTTCATGTGCCGACACACCTCCATGCCATGCAACAAGATGTCAAGCATCTTCTCTCTTTGTCTATCTCTATCTTTTTTCCACAGATCTTTCCAGTGGTCACAACATGTTCTTTTTTCCCTCTTCTTATAACATGGCCGAAAAATGATGACTATCTCCTTCCTATGTCTGTGATAAGTTGTCTTCGGGCTCCCACCTCTTTCAAAACCTCTTGGTTGCTCTTTTTGGCTGTCCAAGGTATTCTAAGCATTCTTCTGTAAAACCACATCTCTGAGGCCTCTAAAAATTGTTTGGCCTGCCTACCGATTTTCCAGGTTTCACATCCATATGTTAAAACTGGATGTATGTAGCAAGCAAGAATTCTTTTTCTAACTCTCAATGACAAGGATATATTGCACAAAATGTTTTTCATTTTATAAAAAGCAGTTTTTGCCTGTCCAATTATGTTTCTTATTTCAGTTATGCATCTTCCATCTGATGTTATCCACGTGCCTAGATACTTACAATTCTGTACTTGTCCTAAAATAACACCATTGACTTTTATTACACATTTAGGAATAATTTGTTTCTTTGATACCACCATTACTTCTGTCTTCCCATTATTCAGACTGAGGCCCATTCTTCCACTTTCTTACACCACAATGTCTATCATTTCCTGTAATTCTTTCTGACTTGTTGCTATCAAGACTGTGTCATCAGCATAGCGTAAATTGTTTATATTGTGCCCACCAACCACAATTCCGGGCATATCAATTAAAGATCTCATTATATATTCACTTTAAGAAATTGGCAAGAGGACGAAAATGGCTGTTTAACGCTCTACCTATGTACCAGTCCTGACCTATGGGTGTGAGTCATGGGCAATGACAACAGTTCACAGAAGTCAGCTGCAGGCCTCGGAAATGAGATATCTGAGAAAGGTAGTCCAAGTGACAAGAAGGGACAAAGTTCGCAATCAGACAATACGTCAAGATCTTGATACCCATTCCTTACAAACCCGAGTGGATCAGTCACAGTTATGATGGTTTGGACATGTATGCAGAATGGGTGAAAATCGGCCACCATGGCAGGCATGGGAGGCTAAGAACCAGGGAACCAGACCTCCAGTACGACCTAGGGTGCGCTGGGAAGACAACATCTGACAGTCCCTAACTGACAGAGGACTGGAATGGAACAAAGCCAGAAAGAAAACTGCTGATAGAGACGTCTGGCGATCTCTCTGGCAAACCTCTACACCCCAAGGTAGAAGAGGAGCGACTAAGTAAGTAAGTATATATTCACTTTATATTGAAAACAAATCAGGTGAAAGTACACATCCTTGTCGAACCTCCCTCTTTATGCTTAGAAATGTACCTAAACAGTTGTTTTTTCTTATAACTGCTGTTTGCTGCCAATACATATTCTTTATTATTCGTAGATCTTTCCCATCAATGTTTAATTTTTCTAACAGTTTGATTACTTCTTCATGCTTCACACAGTCAAACTTATTATACTATCAAGTGCTAAAGATTTTACTAGTTACTGATTGTAATGTGATACCTATCCAGTTGTTAGTTTTCTAAATTTCATTTCTTTATTCATTTAAGAATTGTACCCTTTTTTCCATTCCTGTGGGATTTCTTCTTAATCTTTGTTCCAGATTTCTTGAAAAAATCTTACACAATAGTTTTGGCGTTTCAATTTCCTCTGTCAGCATTTCTGGGCAGATTCCTTCACACCCAGGTGCTCTGTTAACTTTTTGAGCTTTAATCGCCTCCCTAACCTCTGCCTCCGAAAAAGGCTCTAGGCTTCTTTGTAGGTCTTCCTGTGCTTCTGGTATATCAGCAAGTACAGGTGGGTCTGGACAGTTTAGTAATTCATGGAAGTGTTCTTTCCACATTTCTAATTTTTCATTGTCGGCTGGAATCATTTTCCCACTCTTTGCATTTAAAGGCCAATTTTGGTGCGATACCACATTTCCTTTCAGTTTCTTAGTTATGTTGTACAATGTTTTGATGTCCTGCTTATTTTCTGCTTCTGTTACTAGTTTTCCAATATACGAAAGTCTGTCTGCTTTTGCTCCTGCTTCAACCTCTTTGTTCTTTGTTGCATATTCTTTATAAAATTTTACTTTCAATCTGGCTGATTTTGCATCCAACATTTGCCTTTTAGTATCTTTCCGTTGTTCTATATTATCCTACGTCGATTGGGAAATCCACTCCTCTTTCTTTGACCGCCTATGTCCTAATATTTTCTCCCCTGCTAATTTGACTGCTTCATTGAATTTGTCGATTACCATTTGTTTCTTCTTGTAAAATGCTACATCTGTTTTTGAGTTCCATCTTGAATTGCTGTTTGATATGTGTGTCCTGCCATTTTCCTACATCATGCGGTTTTTGTTCTATTTTAGCTTTCCTTTGTTTTAACCCGATTTTTCCAATAAGTAAATTATGGTCACTCCCTATGATCTACGCCGTACTCTGATGTCTTGCGCGGAATGCCTCCATTTTCCATTTATAAGAAAATGGTCAGTCTGGTTTTCTGTGTGTCCATCTGGAGATCTCCATGTGACCTTACAAACTGTTTTTTGAGGGAAGAGTGTTCTATGGTACTCGTGCCCTCAAATGTAGGTCTGCTTGATAATGTCCTTTCTTTCTAAACAAGCTTAATTGTTTGGTCGTGGCTGTGTTAGATTGTCTGGTCTTGGATTTATTAAAATAGTTTTTATATTCCGCTTCCAGTTGGACGATACTTGTATTTACATAGCGTCTAGAAACATAGCTGTACAACAGTGCCTGTAGTCAAATATTTTTTTTAAAATATCTGGTACTGGTGTAGTTTTACAGACTCCTGTAGTGAGGATTACAAATGTAATTCTGTGCTTTGTACAACACTTGCAAACGGCAATGTTGCTAAGCAAACAAGGCATCAACTGTTTTGTTCAAGGACTTGTCCCTTTAAAGCTTCTGTCAAAAATGACACCAAGATAGACAAGAAGGCAGCCTGACGAATCTGGGAGAGTGAGATGTTTGATTTAGGACAGAGCTGTCCTGGGAAGGTCTTTTATCTGTAAGATTGAGGTTGGTGTTAAGGCTTTCCTCCCCGCTTGCTACCATACCAAAGTATCATCTTCATGGAACACAAATATAGTATGGGATTTCTGTACCACTGCTGTGTGCTTCTCAGATGCTCATCTATCTGCGATCATTTTCCCCATGATCAAGTCTCATGGTTAAATTTCAACGGTGGATAGTTAATGAAAATTGTTTTTATGGCTTCTGGCCAGTGCTACAAGAATCACACCAAAGAAGACATTGGAGGCCTCAGTGTGTAACATTCCCAAGACAGCATATTCCCACTGTGGCGACAAACAGCAGAAAACAAATACTATGACCAACAAGAATACTCTTGGTGGTGTCAACTAGTTCAAAAGAGATTGGTTGAACTTTTTAAATTAAGACAAAACAATGTGCATATTGTTTAAAACGTGGAAACCAATTTAATATTTCATAAAACAATGGCCTGTCACATAAAGCAACAACATTCATGAAGACAACATGACTGCCTGTCTCAGAGATGACAGAAGAAAAAGCTGTCCTGATATTGCCTGTTCTACATACACTCACCACAATTTAAAAGTTTATTCCTTTTGTTAACATTTACACACCAAACAAATCGTACGTTAGAGATACAGATAGAGCCAAACTTACAGAGGCTGCAATGGTCTTGATTCTGTTGCGACCAATATGTGATCTATGCCTAAATAAATGCCCAAACGGTGCTGGAGAAGTGATGTAGTCTGCAGCCCACCATCTGCCTGGAGTTCCCCAAATAGCAGCCCTGATCTGATGAACTAGACTAGACTGATCTCACTCAGCCCTTTGTCACTACTGACTGGGGAGGTCAGTCCAGACTTATGACTACTGCGGTTAGCAAGAGCATTATCTACGACTCTTGTTTCCACCACCAATGAGATTACACTGATTCAAATATGTGAAAATAAATCGTTTGTACAACAAGTAACACACACAATCACAATACAGCACAGTAAAATGAAGACTTCCTCATGACATTCACAATCTCTAATGATCTGGGTGTCAATAACACAAGCTTACACATCTTATCTGAGATAATAGCAACCAAAACCTACTTTTCTCAAATAGTATTTAAAACAAACAATATCCATAACAATATAGACAATATTTGTTTTATAGTAATCTCAATTTTAAAATGATAAACCCACAAATGAGACATCAATATATCAGTTAAAAGAACTGGCACAGAAACTCTTGTTAATGAGAAGATTTATTAGCCAGCCTATTTTCACTCAACATCAGTGGTCCCTAAACTGGCCTGTGCTGTTCCCAGGGAAGTCACGACATCAATGGAGGTCATGGACATCAAGGGAGTCTGTGAGGTTTTCAACAGACTTGCTATTTTGTAAAAGGTGGTGTATACATGAGAAGTGTTTGTGATATAAGTTTGATGGTAAGGCGACATGAAATGGATGGTGAACAATCACCATATGACAATGGTTGATGTCTGTGAAAACAAAGTCATCGAAAGCTGCTTTACACTTTAGCATGACCATATTTCAATCAAAATGCAACTCTACACAAAACTGCAAATCATGATAGACTGCATAATTAGGGACGCACTTTTGTCTAGTTACTCAGTCTCATTGCTGTGTGTAATTCATAATTTAAGATTCTCAATAACTACAACAATAACTACATATTAAATCAAATGGATTCCACAACTTAAATTGTTAGTTTAAAAAAATAGGTGCATTAAAAGAACCAGATAACAAAGACTGGACATTACAAACATCTAAATCAAAACAGGTGTAACGCTATGGGGAGAGACATTTCCAATTGCTTTATTTGTAACCATAACCGTCCCAGCCTTGTTCGTAACCATCATCTTCATAACCATCCCATGATTCGTCGTAACCTCCTCCTTGCTCATAGTCATCCCAGCCTTGCTGATAGTCATCTTCATAGCTGGCCCACTGTTTGAGAAAGAAAACATTTAGGAATTCTTTAGGTTTTTTCCAACTCATTCTTTTTCAACAACACAGCATTCAGTTACATGTTTACAGCTGTTTAGGCTGTGTATTTAGTCAACAGGTGATTCATTTGTTACATGAAACAAACATTAATAAATTTTTTTTAAATAATGAAAGTAATTGTCCGGTGTGTACTGTTTATTTGGTAAGAATGAGATGGAAAGCGACTGTTTAGTGTGTACAGTTTGGTGAGGAATACATGTCAAGTGTCCTGTTTGCTACAGAATGTGATGGGGAATGAATAAGTGAACAATGTGCTGTTTGCCCGATGCATACTTGATTTAGTCACGTTATAAAAGAAGACAAAAAATGGTACACGTGACAACTGGAAAGATTTACAGAAAGATACAGACAACAAGATTATGGACAGCCTTTGGTCACGACATGTAAAGGCATCTACACACAAACACAGGCAGGTTGAGACTAAAGATGTAAACAAGTGTGAGAGCCTACACCAGCCAGCAAAACACCTGATAGTTAGTTACGTTAGTCGACAGATTATCCTCATTGCACGTCGAATCACTGAAGGGGGAAAAAAACAACTTGATAATGGTGCAGAAACTTTGTTATGGTTATTTCTCTAACTTCTTTACAAGCTTTTCATAAATCATTCACTGAATAGTGAGCAGAGAATGAGGAGTGCTGCAGAAAACTATCTCTAGATTTCCCAATACTCATATGCCATACAGGAAATACTGAATAGATGTGATTTGTAACTGCTCATATAACAATGAACATTTGTGATGTTTACAACTATAACTATCATGAACAATAAAGTATGATCACTTACTCTAGGTTCGCGGTATGAACGAGGGGCACTCCAGCTATCATTGCCCCAGTCACTGACAGGACCCCAGCTGCTTCCACCACGTCCTCTAGGCTGGATAAACAGATCAAGCAAGAAATGACTTAGTAACTGCCGCAAACAAAAGATTGTTAATGAGGGCATATATCCCCAAAAAGTATATCATGTAAAAGTTCACATCACCAAAGATTTTCATGTAAAAGTTCACATTACCAAAGATTTTCATGTAAAAGTTCACATCACCAAAGATTTTCATGTACAAGTTCACATCGCCAAAGATTTTTATATGCAAATCAAGTTTACATCACATTTATATGCCTGAAACTTTAAAATGTCCCATGTCTCTGTATTTACTTATAAAAAAAACTCCAAATCCCTCTGCATTAGCTACCTATAAAAAATCCATATGTCACTGTAATAACTACCTATAAAACCTCCAAATGCCGCTGTATTACCTACCTATAAAACATCCAAATGCCTCAGTATCAACTACCTATAAAACATCCAAATACCTCTGTATTAACTGCCTATAGAACACCCAAATGTCTCACAGAAAGAGGCAACTTTACCTTGTAACTGCTGTATCCGCTGTAACTGTCCCGTCTATCATCTCTGAAGCGGTCTTCTCTGTAACCACCTCTGTATCCTCCTCTGCCTAAAGGGGAAATAGTTATGACCAGTCATCAGAAAATGTCAACTGTATAAAATTAAACACAAGATTAAAATATTCGAATATAACAGGATATTATTTATAATAACCCCCTACAAAATTAATGTATCTGCTTCATCATTTATTTGCCTTTGTAACTTAACCGTGTTGTGCCTGTTTATAGCACAGTTGCAATTTGTGTACTTTGGCCGAATATGACTTCACCAGGCATTTTTTGTCAAGTAAGCCTATCCTCACTGTTGTGTTGCCATCTGGCCAGCGCTCAGGGAATGGCGGGTGCAGAACATTCCCCATCATCCAAGGAGCATAAATGCAGAGTTGATACAAGGTGCTGTGGTACAATACTCACCCAAGGAATCGTTCCATTCTTAAAATGGCCACTTCCTTTCCATTCATCACAGGCTGTGCTATAGGGGTCCGTGCCGAGTGTTCTATAATCTTACATTAAAAAAAATAAGCATTTCACTTGCTCAGAACAGTAGACTGTTCTTGCAGACAATAGCACTTTTTATATGAGCACCTCAAGAAACTTAGCACTGCAGTATCCAGACACTTGATCATTTCGTAAGAATTCAGGCATTACTTTTTCTCTTAGTCACAACACTCTAACGAATGCAATTCTTGGTAGTGGACAATTAAACCTGTGTTGTCACCCCTGTATGATCTTCATTTGATGGACACTTGAACATCATCTGCCATTTATTTGATTCTCAACTGGCACATGTTTAAATCAAAACTCATCATCAGGACCAGAATTAATTTTGTTGATGAATCTTTGACTGAGGCTTTCACTGATGCATTGGTGTGGGCTGATGAGTGCCACAGGTTTTCTGCTTCTAGACAGTGTACCTGTAGGGGCTGTCCCCAGCTTTGATGAGATTCCTGCCAGCTAATTGTAGGCCAATACTGGCCATTACAAGACACTGACATGTGGCAGGTGTTTTGCATGAAGTTCCTTAACCTGTACAGTCTGCTGACACTTGAGATGAGGTATCCTTTATACACAACACAGGGGTCTTAACTATCCCTGAGGCCTGAGACCAAAATAACTAAATCGCAAACAAAGGTACTATAATCATGTGATAAGGAAACTAAGGTTTTCAGTGCATACTAGGGAAGGGGTGTCAATACCCACTTGCAGGTATCCCTTCTAACATTCACCTGAAACCACTGGGGTATAAACAGCAACATATCAAGTAACTGAAAAAGGCAGCCATCGCTGCATGCCATGAAAGTCTATAGTTGCTCAAATCTGCACAGATTTTTGTATCAGTATATCGAATGTGCCCTCCTCAACAATCCCGTCTTAATGCTTTCGCTGGGTTCTTCATTGACAAGTGCACTTATTCTGTGTTGCCCATTGCAATTCCACAACCAAAATCATATGCTCTACAAGATGATGCGCTTGGCTTCATTTCTGCACCAGACCTTATACATTTGTATTTATGTGTAGCCAAGCACTACACACTCGCAGAGGATGAGTTTCCTGGTATAGCGCAGATATTAATTTTAGCCTGCTACTGCCACAAATCCAGAGATTTATGGTAGACATGTTCTGTGAAACTGAGACCTCACCTAAAACTTTACAATAACTACTGCAGTGACATTATGTTTTATCTGTGGACACTCGTCTAACCACTACCACCACAGCCATGAGCTTACCTCTGCGTTCACTGTAAGGTGGACGGTAAGAACTATATCCTCTGCTGCGACTTCTGCTGCTTCTTCCTCTGCCTCTACTCCTGCTTCTAAATCCACTGCGACGTCCACGGGGGAAGCTACCACGGTAAGTGCTTCGACCTCTGCCTCGGCCCCTGTAGTCAAAGTCTCGACCTGAAAAGTTAAACGCTGCCATCACTGATCTTTTACCTCTATCACAAAAGTTTTAAAGTGTGTGTTTAGTTTTTAATATCACAAGTTCAAACTTAAGCACCGTTCCCCCCTTAAAAAAGCTGCTCTTTGTTATTATCTAGGAATCCATATTTCAGTGTTTTGTTGATAAATACACCATCTACATCTTTGTGGCACGCTCCTAGCAATGTATGCCTTTCTAATAAAACTTTTTTTCAATTAACATCGAAGTGGAAGTCAATGAACTCTTGACAGATCCTTACATCCACCTGATAATCTAAGCTCTGCTGACAAAATAAAATGGATTTTAAGTCTGCCTAATTTCATTAAAAAAATTTCATTTAAAAAAAACCAGATAAAGCATACAAATTAATGAGGTGAATGCAAAGATAATAAGAATAAACCAAGACATAATCTCATTATCTTTGCTGAAACCTCTCTTCAAGATGTGGAATCCTGCATGTATTTAAGTAGTAGTTGGGAAACTGATAGGGTGATTAGGAGAGTTTTGAATTAACAGAATGAAAACATGAAAAAGAGCTTTAATATAACTAAGCAGTGTATAGAACACAAACCTGTAATAAACTCTAAATAGAGAACACATGTTAAATTACTACACCATGTATTAGCAACACAAAGGACAGCAAAACAATTAAAAACATACACTAACTGGTGCCTGTATATAATGACAGGACTAAAGGGGTATAGCAGGATGAAACTTCTTGTGAACTTGCCCACATGGAGATAGTTCTTTCCCCTCCTATTCGTGTCATGGCAGGTTGCACAAGCTGTCTTATGCTGCTGGGATGTTATGAGATTTCGGTGTTCGCTCGCCACATATGTTTGTGGGAGGTTGTGCTGCCATGAGTTTCTTTAAGGTGCTGCAGGCACCTGGGTTCAAGTATGAAGTACTGCAGGGGGAGGCGCCGAAGGCGTGACTATTGAAACTGCGATGTTTTTTGAATTTCTATGTTATGTGAAGGTGGCTTTCCCCGCAGAAAAAGAAGCCACTGATTAGGAAAGCAGACATACAAAATCCCAGTTTTGATACTCAAGAACCATTTGGGTAGTAGCACAACATGGAAATAATAACACGCAAGTGAGCAGTAACAAAATGAGGAGAAAAATACAATGGTTAAACTGTTGAAAATAACAAATATATGACACCCCACAATATAGGACAGGTTGTGCAACCCACCGCGGCATGAATGGGAGGGAAAGGAACTCTAGATGTGTGGGCAGGTTCATGATAGTACCGACAGGATTATTAATGTGAAGCTCATTGAGAGAACAAGACATATCGTACTGAATCAAGAGATGAGAAATAATACTTGTGCTAGGCAAGGCATCCATTGAGAAAACCTATAACTGAGCAAGGAGACCTGGTATCCACAAAAGAAATGGAGGGAGATATAAAGGATGTGAAGATGTGAGTCTGAGACAGATATAAACACACACACACAAAAAATGGAGGGAAAAAAAGGAGCAACAAGAAGTATAAAGATTATTTATGACATGGACAGTTTGGTGTGAGGTGACCTATTCATCATTAGGGGATAAAAGCAAATTATCACTGCAGGACAGAAAGATCTAGGAGTGCAGAAAGTCATGTTTTTATTCTGCTGATAAATAAAAGCCAAATAGAAGCTCAAAAGATACACAACCTCATAGATAAAATACAACGGATGACTAGTTTCCAATAAGAACAAAGTCACCCAACAACTAGGACATGAAGTGGGAAAGAAAGGGCTCAAAAAGTAAAAGCATAAACAAGAGTTGTATGTAGAACAGGGCAGGCTGTCTATACAAGCTGCATGCTAATTCTATGCTGAAAAACGAAAATGCAAGAAAAAACAATTTTTTTTCAAGTTTCAACTCTAGTATAGCTTGTAGAGGATGTGGGTTACTAAAACCAAAGGATAATCGCCAGGCAGTCACTTAAGACTAAACTGGAATGTTTGAAAACTCGTCAGAAATTACCAGGTAACCCCACGAACGATCTAACTCAAACTACTTACTTTCTCTCCTGAACCGCTTCTCACGTGGGGGAAGAGCATCAAGACCTTCCTTTCTATACTTCTCAATGAGCTTCTCACGTTCCTCTTTGCTCACATCTGGCTCCGTATATTCAACTGATTCATAACATCCACCCTTCTCTGGCAAAGTGTAGTTTGCTGTGAGAAACACCAACATTCAGTAAATATGTTTTATATTCATAAATTGTACATTTCATCTCTGAAAAGAATACATCAGCTTTGTGTTTTACAGTACATAAGAGATTTTCCTTAACTGAATCATCTTTGTTGTTATTTATTTAAAAAATATTTTATATTCAAAAGTATATGTTAATATTTTTTACTCAAATTCCAACTGCAACAAAGCACTATAATGTAACAACTGACATAAAACAGAGAAATAAACAGGTGTTGATGACCACTCATAGTAAGTAAAGGAACACAGCAGAGATAAGATGATAAACTAGTCAATATAATAGTTAAAAACCTGGGTGCCTGCACTGAGGGCAGGGGATCCATTCATTTTTTCTCTCAGTGAAACTGGAACAGTGGAACCCACAAAGGGACTGCCACCCTTATAAGAGTGCACCTCAATATAGGAACTACACATGAAGGCATGATTAGCTTGTCCTCTGATATGTCACATGACAAATACATCAGACCATTGAGTCAGTCTAGCACATCATTATTATTTTAAAGAGACCCAAACTGACTGCTCGTGTTATGTTGCACATAATAATCATGTTAACAGCTAAAGAAACCTTCAAGTTACTGAAACAGAAAGTGCTTGAGCTAGAAAGAACCCACCTATCATTACTTCCTACACCCACCCACAATAATCTGACAAAAAAAAGGTCAAGTAAGCCAGTACAGTACAGGATCTGGGGCATATAGTGCCAGCCTAATATTGTCTGTAAGTGATTTAGTTAGTATCACCCAAACCACCTTTACTTCCCAGTATGCATGTTCAGATGAGGTTGACCAGAGAGTTTTTAAAACATCCTGGTTGTCTGTCTGAGCTCATGACCACTGGGTCTGCACTAAAGCAAACAAACCAGTGGACCAGAAACAGTTCCCGGGAGTCCAGATAATTCAATGTTGAACGCTCTTGTAGGCCTGTAAAAGTCATTCACTAAACCCCAGACAGGAGCATCCCTTTACCCACTACTACAATTTAAATCTCAGCTACATTTTTCAACAAGTAATCTAGGGGAAGAAGGCCCCCCCCCCCCCCCCATTAAGCAGTATTTTAGTATGACACTACACTAGCTTTACACTTGAGAGATTAAAAATGAGTATATAAGCAATTTTCTCCTCTCTTGGGCATATAGTCTTCTTCTTCGTGTTCACCAGCTGTAAACTCTGGCTGAAAATTCTGCTTGGTTTGCACCTCTGGATTTTGGTCTCGCCCAGAAGCTAAGTGCTGGATGCACATCCGCTTCACAGATCCGCTTATTTGCAAACAAACTGTTGGTTACTTGCTTTCATGCAGATGCACTTTGACTCTGAAGGAAATGGCCCCTAATTTTATGACATGTTTGTTAAGGAAGCAGTATGTCTATTCTCTTCCCTCCACAATTGAATCGCAGAACCCACACTGACTGGAAGGGCATGTAGTAAAAGATGATCACAGCAATTACAAACAACTAGCTAGTTATTGTGTATTAACTCACTGTCCTATATAATACTACAGCTTACAGTGTTTTGATTACACTGAAAGAAAAAACCTTTTATTTTTAAAAAACTAAAATCAGCAGGTAAGTTTGAGCTGACAAGCAAAAGGTCAACAGTGATATAATTGGGAAGACAACAAAAGATGAACAAATGGCAGGTTGTCCAAGACAGTGACCACAGTGATAAAAGAATTTTTGTTTTTGTTTTGTGTCGTTCATTTCTAAATAGAAACTCACTGTCCTACATATTATCACAGCTTACATTTTGACCTGACTGATCAACTCAGTGATCAAACTCAGAATTTATTTTTAAAATATATTACAATGGCTTACATTCTGGCTAGTTATTGCGTCCTAACTTTAAACAGCCTACATTCAGGCTAGTGATTGTGAATTAACTCAGTCCTATAAATTAGAGCAGCTTACATTCAGGCTAGTTATTGTGTATTAACTCACTGTCCTATGTATTACAACAGCTAACATTCTGGCTAGTTATTGTGTATTGTTTTATATATTACTTTTGCTTTCAATCCAGCTAGTTACTGAGTTTTAACTTAGAGTCTTATATATTACAACATCATACATTCTGGCTAGTTATTGCGTATTATTGTCCCATATATTACAACGGCTTACATTCTGGCTAGTTACTGTGAATTAACTTACTGTCCTATATATATTACAACAGCTTACATTCTGGCTAGTTACTGTGAATTAACTTACTGTCCCATATACTACTACAGCTTACATTCTGGCTAGTTACTGTGAATTAACTTACTGTCCCATATATTACAACGGCCTACATTCTGGCTAGTTATTGCGTATTATTGTCCCATATATTACAACGGCTTACATTCTAGCTAGTTATTGCGTATTAACTTACTGTCCCACTTATTACTACAGCTTATATGCTGGCTAGTTATTGCGTATAAACTTACTGTCCCACTTATTACTACAGCTTATATGCTGGCTAGTTATTGTGTATAAACTTACTGTCTCACTTATTACTACAGCTTACATTCTGGTTACTTACTGTGAATTAATTTACTGATCTATATATTAAAATGGCCTACATTCTGGCTTGTTATTGCGTAATAATGTCCCATATATTACAATGGCTTACATTCTGGCTAGTTATTGCGTCCTAACTCACTGTCCTATGTATTACTACAGCTCACATTCCGGCTAGTTATTGTGTTTTAACTTACTGTCCCATGTAGTATAACAGTTACATTCAGGCTAGTGATTGTGAATTAACTCAGTCCTATAAATTAGAGCAGCTTACATTCCGGCTAGTTATTGCGTTTTAACTCACTGTCCTATGTATTACAACAGCTAACATTCCGGCTAGTTATTGTGTATTAACTCACTGTCCTATGCATTACAACAGCTAACATTCCGGCTAGTTATTGTGTATTAACTCACTGTCCTATGTATTACAACAGCTCACATTCTGGCTAGTTATTGTGTATTGTTTTATACATTACTACAGCTTACAATCAGCTAGTTATTGTGTTTTAACTTATGGCCCTATAAATTACAATGACTTACATTCCAGCTAGTTATTGCGTTTTAACTCACTGTTCCATATATTACTACAGCTTACATTCTGGCTAGTTTTTCTGTTTTAACTTAACCGGCCTATTTATAAAATATAGGTCTAGCCCTAAATACCCAAACCAAGTTTGGGTGTGGAAAAGGGTCCTTTACTTTCTATGGAATCATAGAAACATACAGAAACCACTGCCTGGAACAGATATTTTCCTACAAGCAGAAGTTTACAAGTTTTAATAAATAAGTTTTGCTGACAGCATATATACCACAATCACCCTTCTGTCATCCCAAACAATTATATGTGGACATTACTAGCAAAATAAATGAGACAGAAACAACCAAAAGTGAAAAGAGAGTACTTGACAGACAGAACAAGCTAGATAATAATTAGAAGTACTGCAATAAAGATAAATCCAGGTCTACATAACCAGCTTTACTAGTACTAAAGATTCTTATCACACATGACTTTCATCTCATATAAACATCTTTTAAGTTTATTCTGTAGGTATGACTTTCTTCTCTCTGTTTTTTCATCTCCACCATCTCTTTTTTATTTTAATATCTCTTAATATATTTTCTTTTTTTTCTTCTCTTAATTGATTTTTTCTTCATGTTTGCTTGGAAACAAAAATTACTTGTGACATATTGTGCGATGACCAAGCTCCGCCGATCTCCGTACCATTACCTTTCATTTCGTTAACTGCACTTTCTGGAATATCCTTTCCTTCATCCTCCGTTCTTTCCTTCACTCGTTTTGTGAACACTTCATCTGAAGGCAAGACCACTACAGCCCTTCGATGAAATCCTTCAAATGGCTGCATTTTGCGTCTCCGGGCTGATGCATTCACATTTGTCTAGCATGGCAACAAAATATAAAAAACATGTCATCAATTGTTCATCATTTCTGCAGCCAAGATGTTCCTCATTTGTGTATTTTTTCTTCAAATAATAAGCTTTTTTTTCTTCAATATTTTCCTCAAACAAACCATACCCTTATTTTAAAATGAAATAAAGACAAGATGAAAGAATATTTTCAAGAAACATTTCTACATATCATTAGTCTCCAAATGCTCTTAAACTAACTACAATGAGGAACTGCATAGTATTATTTCAAGGAACCATTAAAGCATTATTTCCAAGTAATAATTTGTAATTATATTTTGTAAGTAAAAACATTTAGAGATAAAACTGCAGTAAACTCTACAACTGTGATATTTTCTTCACTTACCTTCAACTATATTGTATAGCTTTACGGACTTTGTCAAAGCATTTATTTAACTTGTTAAAATTTCACTGACATAATAAATTTAGTCCAAGTCATACAGTGGACAGAGAGCTGGTGTATCACAGTAGCCCTATCCCACACAGTGCTGGAGTAAATGAAGTCTCATAAATAAGTTTAGAAATGACTCCCAAGTGGTGATTTCAAGAACTGATGTGATCCTCTCAAAATGTGGTGACCTAGTGAATGTGAACTCATATCATTCCATCTATCAAAGGCACAACCAGCCAATAAAGTTGCCTCCCTGTAGGTTTAACATGTCAATGCCAATGCCAGGTGCAAACAGCAATTTCTGTCTCAGTCCCAAGCACAATATTATGAGACATGAGTTTAAACAGATATATATGGTCACTACACAAAACATCTATGTAGGGTTAGTGTTTAACAACTCAGTAGTTCCAATTCAATACCTGGAGAGTATGTAACCTTGAGAGTGATATACTACCACAAAGTTTATTCAGCAAATGTGTTGGCAGATACCGAGGAGATCCTTTCCTTTTCTTGTTATTATTACGTCATTTTGTCTTATCTTGACTAATAACTAGTCCGCAGTATTAGCTGCTAAATTTGAAAGTATTCAAATGCAATCACCTGTGCTCACTTAAAATGCAACAAATCCTAAATTCAAACATATTACACCAAGGAAAAGCAAAAAAAAAAAGTATTCTATTAGTGATGAATAATCGCACCAAACAGAAGTGTTCTCAATCAAACCAGTTGACATCTTGAGTTAAACTTAAGTGTTTTTAATGCAGCAATTATAAACAATTTCTATTCTGATAAACTGAGAAAGTGTATTGCAAAAGTACCTGGTCAATGATATAGTTGCGTTTCTTGTGAGATGCTATCTCAATCATCCTGTTGAGGCATTTAGCAGCCATGTCAAGCAAGTCCCGCCAACGACCAGTGAAGTGTTGCTTTCTAGGCTGGCCCAACACCTGGTCACAAGAGAACAGTTACAAATCCTTTAACTAAACAAAACAAGCAATATATACTTGCAAAAGAAGGGCTTTATGTTTCACTACCATGGTGATTTCCTGAGGTTGATCCATTACTCTGGGAAGAGGGAGTTTAGGAATATTAACTTAAGTAGAACCTAGTTACTTGCAATCAGGTGATTTCTCTGCTTACATCAGATCTGATCACATAATCCCAGTCACTGATCACCTAGGAGTCAGCTTAGAGTGCTTCATAGATGGTGATGTTTATTAGGGCATTACTCTAGCATTGAGAGGCATTTCTTGGGAAAATTTACAGCTATGAATAGGTCATGCCTGCATAAATCCCCAACAGGCATCTTGTGATAACACTGTTCTTTCTATAATTAAAATTACCATTTCTCAGTGAGCATTCTCGTCTTTCAATTACTATGGTACTTAACAAATACTGGAAATTGTACCATAGCAAGAATAGCATTGGCAGCCAAGAGTAGACAAGTAGGGGAATGGTATTACAGTAACATTCATTACTTTAAATAACTAATTAAAAAAAAAAAATAAGCTTAGTATTAACAAAATGCAGTTGACTGCTTAAATGACATTCATATTTAATTTCCTGGAACGCAGCTTGATTATCCAATTGTAAGAGATTAATGTACATATCTAAAAGGATTTGGAAATTAAAAATAGACAAAAATATTAACTGAAAACTATTAGGCTAAAAATATGATAATGTTGCATACATTTCAACTTGGATAGGAGACAATCAAGACTTTCTATCTTCAGAAGGAATCAGCTGCTTAAGAAGAACTTTCTACAAATGCTTTTGATCTTCTGAGGGCTAAGTCCTCAGGTAATCACTTCTAATGTGTAAGCCAGCTACAAGAACAATGTTATAAATTATTCTTGATTTATCTACACAAAACTGTTTCCAAATACTGTTACTCTTCTGTCATTCTTTTCTGCAAAGCCCTGCAATCCTTTAAAGGTAAACATACAAAATGCAGCTGCATCTGACACTGTTGTAATCAAAGTGACAGTGCTGCTGACAACACAAGCCTACCTTCATTTTATTAATCACATTGCTGCTGCCAAGCACATTGTAATGTTTTTCAGGCTTTGTAGCAGCATATCTTTCCACCCAGTATGTTTTTCCTGCACCTGGCAAGCCCACCATCATAATAACCTAGAAGGGTCAGACAATCAAATAAATGAATTATATATGTAGTGATAAATTGTGTTGTTGCTAGGGACACAGATATGTCTTAACACAGCGGAGAAAACATTTCTGAAGAATGCAAGTTGAATCCTGCAATGTTTTAGGAAAAAGGAAATGAAAGAATCAAATTATCTTTTTATGTAGCTGTACTAACCATCAAGTTCACAGTTTACAGTGTGTACTGTTTGCACTCAGCTACAACTACACACTAAACCATGCTTGCACAATTACCAACATTTCTGGAACAAATGAAACTTATTATAGTCTATGTCGTGTGGTGATTGTAGTCGTCTCTACCCACAGCCTTTTGTCTTAGATACTTTCAATAAATTCTGACACAGATGATCTTTCATGGCATGATGTCAACCTGTCCAACATCTCTATTGGTCTCCCTCTGTCCCCCCCACCACGGTGTGCTCAAGTTTTCTCCTTGACATGACCAGAGTGCAGACTACCTCCTTCTGAAGAGAGCAATCAGTTTTTTCTTGAGTCAATTTCTTTCAAGACTTCATTACTTATTTTATATGTCTAGGGTGATCATTTTTCTATAATAATGGTCTAGGGTGTTATCATTTTTCTATAATAATGGTCTAGGGTGTTATCATTTTTCTATAATAACACATCTCAACCACTTCCTTATAATGTTTTACTTCCGTATATGTAAATGATTTACATAGCTCTCAGGGATTCTCTTTCTCACAACATTTATCAACCCCATCCAACATACAATTCACTCATTGTTATCCATTTATCATTAGTTGAATTAATATGTTCAATATTTATTTACTTGACCTATATTACAATGACACAGATTTTATGATAGAAAAATTACAATTGTAACAAAATGTGAGTGCTGATAGAAAGTTAATAATAGACTTTAAAACCAAATAGTACTAGTGCTATAGTAACAATAATTGTAGAAAGAAATTAACTTTGATAAGACCAGGCATGATATATCTAGAACACATATGAAAAGAATTCCTATTATCTATAACCACAACAGTGAATATGTTGGCAAGAAAAAATACAAACCTCACAAGCCTCTTTAGATGCAGGAGGAAGATGTCCACGTACACGTTCCTCTGCGGGTACCTGTTCCAGGAACGTGTAGCCTTCCTTGAGTGGAAAGTATGGTCCTTCCTAAACAAGATCAGAAATATATATTTAGCATGAAACGGCCATGAAAGAACAGTGCTTCATTTAAAACACTACAGTAAAACAAAACCCTATACAATAAGATAGCATTTTGTGTAAGCTGACCTTTCCACGTCCACCTAGGGTCATGCCTTGCTTTCAGCAGTCATCAACAACATTACAGAGTGTTGTTCCAAGGTGTTTGCTGACATGGTTGAGACATTATGTGAATGTTCTCACCATAAGGTCTGTTCTTGGTGAACTCCTCAAATGTTTTGGCATCACCATCAGAAAGTAATGATGCATAATGAAGCTTATAATGGGCTAGAGACCTCTGCCACAGCACTCATGCAGCCTACACCTCGATCATACTCTGTGAATTTATTATCAGTTTAGAAGATGGTCTGCCTTCCATGCTTCAAATTTAGCTGGTTTTGATATGGAAACTCTTACAGTGGTTTCAAACACCTGACAATATGTGGACATAACATGCACATCTATGCAAAGTCCTGTAAGGACATCCACTGCACAATCAAACCCCAATTTAGGATGTGTCGCCTCTTGTCAGCCAAGTGCTATCAAAGTTGACAGTAATACCCAGCACGTCATTGTCATGTAGAGTGATGACTGACTGCTGTGTATGGAATTGCCAAACATACTTCACGGTCTGGAAAAAAAAACTATGTCCTCCGGATCTTCTTTAAATAAAATGTTTGTGCTCTGTTGTGAAATGTTCTGTAATGAAGGTTCATATTTTCACAAAAAATATTGAACATTGTGGCACCCATTCCACAAACTAATGCAGAATAAACAGTCTGGTTATTGATGGCAAAAGATCTATCCCCATCATTACTTCTTGAAGCTAGGTACTTTCCACAAACTACATACTTCACAACAAGAGCAGTTAACTTCTGCATGCACAGCTAATCCTTGAGTTTTCTTATTGTCAGTTTTAAAAATAAGCCCAGTATTTTTTTCACAGTAGACAACATGTTTTTAAGATTTGTCAATTTTGGAAAAGTCAACCAATCCTCTGTTTTCCAGTTTTTTATGTCCACTATTCAGAAACATTAATGCGCTAGGGAAGGCCATATATTCATACATATCTTTCTTAATCTGGCTTATGGTTTTTTTTTCTGTAAAAACAGTGTCACTTCCACAACTTTAAGAACTAGAACACGATGATTGCTAAAATTCCAGCTACATTAAGAACATCAACAAGCATGTCATGTGCGTCACAATCCGAATTTTCTGTAATGTTAATGACGGTCTGGTAGATCTTTCTTTGCGCATTTGCAAATGTAAACTTCAAGATTTCTTACACTGATCACCTTAAGTGGAGTTTAAACTTCTTGGAACGAGGCATTGTTCGATTCACAGCAGTCTTGCGGTCTCTGTGTAAAACAATTGACTACAGCGGCCATCTCTGAGAACTGGATACCCACATGATCAGATTCAGCAAGCAGAAATAAATGAGGTCGTGTTTACACCCATAAACTTTCTGGGTTTTTATATGATTCAATAAATCGGCCGTGAATGATAAATTTGAAACTCCACAAACCCGAATCCCGCTGAAAAAATGCAGTCGACATAATTATGGTTACAATGGTATATAATACATATAGTTATCTCCTTGTGAAATTGACACTACCATGGTGCAAAAATCGCCAAATTTTAAAACAATTTTAGGGTTAGCATAGTAAAATATTAATATTGCATTAAAATTCCATGCTTTATAAAAAAAACAATGAATCTGACAGAAAACATACTAACGCGCGTAAAAAAAAAAAACTTTTCTAAAAATGTTACATTATTTGGAATGAAGAAACAGAAAGCTAAATGTTGAAGTCAGAATGTCTTATTATTTTACTAAAGAAACAGACAAATAAACAATAAGAAAGTGAAGCTCAAGTTTTCAAAACAAAAAGTCCCATAGATGAATAAACATATCCTGTTTGTCTCCTCTTCTACTTCTTAGCATTCACAACTGTCAATTCTTGCTTGTGAACTTCTGGACTTAAGACTTGCTCCAGAACTAAGAGATTTTTACATACACATCTCTTTTACCTAACAGGGCTGCACCAGACAGAAAGGGTACTCTTGAAAAGTGCCTGAAGGGCATCTCCACATATAAGTTAAATATGAAACAAAAATGTACAACAAAAGAGACTTTTACAAGTCTCTTATAATTAGTTTCTAATTTAAAATAGAATTATTCATACCCTTCCACCAAAGTTGACCTCAAATTCTGTGTTCTTTGTCATCAAATGAGGAAACAAAGCCTGGTCACCCAGTTTTTCTTTCTCAATTTCAAAACATTTGCCGAGATATTCTCCATTCTTTGCATATGAGATGACAACTGGGTCACTGTCAAGGTCCTATAGGTATGTCAAATGGAAACAAGTAATGACACAATTACTGCTTCAGGTTTCTCAGGTGATCAAAATGCAAATTTTAACCCTACCAGACCGCTGGCCCGGTTTTCCGGGAATATCATAACTGTTCTCTATACTGCTGGCCCTAATTTTCGGCTATTTGCATAGTGCGTGAGAAAGATGCGTCACTGACTAAAAATAACCAACCAATCGTCATCAGTCCGCTTTGATGCACATTGCAAATGTCTTCCCCGTGTGTGTGAATCATTTTTGCGTGTTTTAGTGTGAAAAAATTTGGAAAATTCAGATTGAAGCGAGCGGCTGATCAACCAAGTTCTAGGCTTTTTACAGTCCAACAGGTGATCGATACTTTGGTTTATTCACTCTGTGATATATATATATATATATATATATATATATATATATATATATATATATATATATATATATATATATATATATATATATATATATATATATTCATTATCTGTGATAATTTCATAAAGAATACGTTCTGGAAGTGACACTGTCAGTGACAGCGCGAATGATGAGGAAAAACTTGAAAATTATCAATCTTGAAATAGATCGATAGTAGGAGGGGGTGTGTCCATCAAACGGCAACATCTGGTGTTCACTTTGTGAAACAAAGTTGATCCTGATGAGTGAATTTGCACACAAAGGTGGAATATTGGCGCTAGATCAAAGGTAAGCCTATTTTCTACAATGTCTCCAAGTTTCATCATATTCTAGCCACTCGTTTGCATGCAACTAATATTTTTGTTTATCATGGTTTTTTTTTTGCGGTAATGCCCAGGAGCTCAGGTTACAGGGACAGTTAGGTTCAGGGCCTTAGGTCTGGTAGGGTTAAACAACGCTCTGAAAAGTTTCACCAATGGAAGTAAATATCTATTACCCAGATAATAAAACAACTTACAACTATAATACATTATTACATTTTGTATCAAGCTAATGTACTGCCCCTAATGTACTGACATTCTCTCTCTCTCTCTATATATATATATATATATATATATATATATATATATATATATATATATATATATATATATATATATATATATATATATATATATATATATGTATATATGTAAAAATAAATATATAAATATATATATATATAAATATATATATATATATATGGTCCAAGAAACTTTTTCCGCCCCAATCACAGTGATTGGTCGTTCATTTATGATACGTGACCTTTCAAGCGCACTAGTCTAAGTTACAGGGGTGTGATGTTGCGCTGTGTTCGGTCTTCTGAGCTGTGTATACTGCGTGCCATGTATTGGTTGGTGTGGGCCTGTTACATTGCACATATCATATGCTTTGCCAGACTTCAAGTAGGACATGAATTTACTTCAGCTGTGAGCATTGAGGAGCGACAAAGATAGCAGTGTTGCTTCTCTGCAGCAAGACAGCTTTTTAAGGCCCGGCTCAAAATGTTGACAATTCTGAAACCACGGGACGTTAGCTTCACTCTCTTGTAGGAAGAAGGTTGGGGTTAAGACCAGTTTTAGGTGTTGTAGGGTCATTGAAAGCTGTCACACTGTGTAATTTTTAGAACATGAGATTTTGCCGGTAAAAGCGTTCAAGATAAAACAACGTGACTCTCCTGTAACTTAGGACAGTGTGTGTGTGTGTGTGTGTAAGGTCAAGAAACGAACACTGTGTTTGGGCCGAAAAAAATGTTCAAGGACCATATATATATATATATATATATATATATATATATATATATATATATATATATATATATATATATATATATATATATATATATATATATACGCTTGTTGGCTCTGTGGCTAAGTCGATGGGAACGCATCGTAATGCCGGGTTCTATCCCAGCTGCGGGCCACACGCCTTGTGTTGGTTTTGACAGTGGTATCAAGAAAGCCGACCGTCCAGAAAGCAATGGCAAACTACTGGACGTAAATTTGCCTAGAGAAACCACACAACAGCCAGGGGCTGTTAGGGTTGGTTCTGCAACGTCATGTAAAGGAATCGCAACTAACCTTTAAATATATGTGCTTAACACATTTATATCTTAGATTCCAGTATTATGATTCTGGTAAGGTTACCAAGGAGAATAACGGTATATTCTAATGAGCTCAAAGTGGGAAGAAAGGACAATATGTTTCTATGGCATCTGGTTTTTATGCATAGTTTGGTCCTACATGCTTCTGTTTAGATTAATGACACTCAACATTCCAGAAAAACTGCAGATCTGTGCTACTGCCATTTCATACACAAAAGTTTGTTCATTATCAGGTGTTTTTTTATTTTAAGAATTTTAAATGTGCAGTGTATCAACTAAGATCACTAGGCAGGACAAAAGACAATAAATATTTTTTTTCTCTGTAACAAAATAACCTAATACTGCAATAAAGTTCTGGTTGTTCTTTCCTGAGTGGTGTGTGCACATCCATTTTACAGGTTCATTTGAATGCAGACTGTTGTTTTTGTGGCCTCTCAGGCAGATGCACTCCAACTTAGAAGGATGCTCCCAATTAGTCAACTTTTTTTTACATGCTTGTTGAAGGGGCAGTGGGCCTATTCTCACCTTCCCCAAAACAGGGCCCTGAAACATCACTGCCACGGTTTCATTAACTCTTGACGGACCATTCGTCACTTTAGTGGCTTTTAAATCAACCATGTTCAGACTTTTAGCTACTATAATGGCCCTTCATAGAGCCACTACAGTTATGTTTCGTTTGTTCGGAAAACAAATTTGAATGAAAATGTTTAGAATTAGAATTAGCGAAACAAAGTCCTTTCATTGGCATAGTGTTCGAGCCACTTTCTGATTTGTTTTTAATTAGACATGATGCAGTTTTTATGTCACTTTTCCAGACCAAATGATAAGGGAAAAGACTAGAATTGTTTGTATTACTCTGCCATTGATGAATCTCAGCGAGACAGTGACAATAGCCTTGATATTATCGTCTTCTTCTTTGCGTTCACCAGCTGTAAACTCTGGTGGAAAGTTTTGGTTGTACATCCACTTCTGGACTGCAGCCCTGTTCCAGAAACATGAGTGTTGCGTGTGCATCGTTTGACACACATTTGTGTGCAGACTGTTGGTTCCTTGCCTCTCAGGGAGATGCACTCAGACTTCGAAGGAAGCTCCCAATTAGCTGACTTGACGACATGCTTTTGGGTAGGCAGTAGGTTTTTTCTAGTCTTCCCTATAATAGGGCTATGATTGATAATGCCAAACCTATTGCTGATAATATAGGTTAGAGTGAAGATTGAACACAATATTTCAATCAGCTGTTTTCCCAATTCTAAAATTTGACATGTCATACAAAAATGGTCATAACATCCAAAGTATTTAAATTAACTGTTTCAAACTGAGACTCACTGATACATAACTGAACAGAGAAGGCATGTGAATTCTTAGAAATGAATAGCAGTGTTCCTGAACGAGTAAAAAGTGAAGTAGGCACAACATTTCTGTGTGTAAATAATCTTCACATGTGTCAAACATTCTTGAATGTTGTGTGATTTGAATAATATTGTTGTCACACTGACATAGTTTAGTCCCTATACAGCAGATACTTTTTCCAGGAAGGTTTTAGCTTGTCATGTTGTAGTAACAAAATTTAAAACAAAAAAAAAAAAAAAAAGAAAAATTCAGTATGCAAGCAAATGTAGACTGCACCTTCTCACAGCACAGATCAATGAGGATTCAAACCAATATATTTTGTTGGTGGTGGTACACTTACCAAGTAGGCTGTGATGACATCTCCTTGAGTAAAAGTCTGCCCATAATCAACAAAGTTGTTATCTGTTGCAGCCTTTCCTGAGCCTCCATAGCCAAATGATAACGGTTCTTCACCTAAAGTGAGATAACATGACACGTGTGAAAGACGACAAGAGATTTTGCAAGAGCAATGAAATTATATTAACAATAAGCATGCCACATTTCTGAAAGTGTATTTCAGTTATGCAGATATATCATCCATTTCCAAATAGGCAACAGTAATCTTATTTAAAAAGTAAAGCTACACAAGAAGTCTTACAGACTTTAAAAAATGTTTTACTACACTATTATTTTGTTCTTCAATGCCAGTACTACTTAAATCATTAAAAAAAAAAACTCATTTTCTTCTGTATCATAAATCAAAAAATAGAATGCCAGATAGCATTCATAAAGAGCTGGACATCACTGTTTTGATAATCTGACTCTGAAGAAAATGAGAAATCATAAAGATCAAATTCAGTTTAAGTGGTAAAGGTGTTGTCTGTGGCCTGGGCAGTGGCAACACTCTTCGTAATAATGCTGGGATGCTGGGTTCAATTCCAGCTGCAAGCGATCTGCACAAAACCATTTTGCACAGGTTTTGACAGTGGTATCGAGAGCTGACCATTCAGGAAACTACTGAACGTAAAGTTTGCCTATAAAAACTGCAACATCTTAAAGAAGTAATGTAACCAACTTTAAAGCGTTTCTAATACCACAAAAAAGTCTAGCTTTGCTAATACTGTACCTAGATTCAGTGATGTTGAATTGACAGACCAGCCAACCCTGAAAACATGAGGGTTAGGTTCATCTTTCGGCAAGTGTTTAACATTCAGGTTTTCGAGAACCTGTTGAGAGAACATATATTTGAAAACAATCAATAAATATAGGAACAATCTAGCACACACAAGTTTATTATGCTCTTAACTCATATTTTCTTCTTTTGTATTTGTGTTATGAAAAAATACTTTCGTGATACATTAAGTTCTGACTGATTTCAGATGCATCATAAATTCCTGGTTATGATTTGGTGTTGTTTGCTTGAAACCCTGCCAGGCCTGGTTGACAATGTGTTACTATCGTTATATGTATTTAATGCTAATTAAGAATCGAAATCTTAGCACTCAGGACATAAGCAATTCACCCCCATCTTCAGCAGCAAACGAAAAGTTTGATGGCACCAGTAACAGTCTGGCTGTATACCCATTTTGTTTTTCCTCTGAGTGTTGAGCGTCTGTCAGATCCCCTGTAACTCCTCGCAGCGACATTCTTCTAAGACTGTAATGATCTATCTACCCTCCTCACTGTTCGCTCATTCCCAAAGGGTCCTCACAATATCTAGCTTGTCATATATCAATTAGCCACAAAATGGTGCAGAGCCAGTCAGTCTATACAAAAAATGCTAGCTACACATGACCTCTGAAGTGATGCTTGCCACTCTGCACGAAGCATGCCTGTCTCCACCTTTCTCAACATGCTCTTGGAGTCAGTTACAATCCCGGCATTTGCGTACAGTTGATTCTTAAACCAGTGGAAGGCAGGAGTGACCGCCTCTACCTCCATTCTCAAACTAGAAGTTGTGATATCATATGCAAGTTTTTGTTGCCCCAGGTGACGTCCATTCACTTTTGCTTTAAACACCTTTGCACTTTGTCTGCCTCTCAACACAGAACCATTTGTATAGATAATCACATCACCTGGGCAGGTATTGTCATTAATCATTTGTTGAACTTCTGATTTTGCACCACAAGCTGGCCAGTTGCTGCACTCACGACCTAAAATGATTAGATGCCTACATAAGTCTGAAACTTGCTCGGACACCTTGACCCACCCCTGTCCTCGCCAAATTTATTAAGCCTGCACACACATGTCCAACTTTGCCATCCAAGACTTTTCTCTTTTTAGTCTGTGACACTTAGCTCTACCTAGGGCTTCATGCAGGAGGTGCTTCTTATCTGCAGCTACTCCGAGATATGACTTTGCTTGCAAAACTTTGAGTCTATCTGCAACAGTAGGCAGTGCATGTATATATTGCATACATACTACAACGGTATGTTATGTGTATTGTCCACAGATGCAAATACTGCAGCTCTACTGTTAAACAGAAAACATAATACTCAATATCAAGTTCACACACATAAAGAAATGTGGGTGTGTCTACTGTAGACACAGGTTTACTGCTGGAAGCCGGGTACCTTAAGCTGGTGCAGATTTTATGTAGTTACACTTCTAGCCATGAGAGGATCACTAATTATACATCACATCACAAACAGCAGTGATTTACCTTTGCTTCATAAGCAACTTTGCCTGATTTGACACCATATGTTGCACGTACGCCAGACCACATGTAAGCAAACCCGTCAACTGTTAAAGGGTAGGCTTTGATTCCACGCTCATTGAAACGGAGATTCAAGTCTGACTCATCTGTGCATATAAAACATCGAAAAAAGTTTCAATATGTGAGTAAATCAAAGTACCTATTGGTGTAACATAATTTTACTTGAATAAGAAATCAACCCATGTAAGGCTAAATACCTAAAAGCCTCATTGACAACATAAAACACAAATTGAAACGGTACTCACATCTATCCAAGTTAAAAATGGTGAGTGTTTCCCAAGCTGTATCATCCATTTCAATCTTCCTGGCAATCTTCTTACCATGCCTGTCTAGAGAGCGGGATCTTCTCCTCTTTCTATCTGTGTTTCCTATAAGGACAAAACACATGTAATATATATATATATATATATATATATAGACACACCTACAAACACACTTTATTAAAAACTACCACAAGTTTTTAAACCAATTTAAAAGCAGCTACTTTTCCATTCCCTTTTCAAGAAAAGCTCATTCAAAGCTGACATCCTAACTCAAGGGCACTGCGACCATACATATGTTTTTGTTCATGTAAAATTTACTTCCATATTGTTTTTAGGATATCTGCTGTGACATTTTGTAATATATGCAGTTTGTATCTTTCCATGCTTACCAGATAGTTAGGCACTGAATATCATTGATCAGGGTAATGTGTTAAATCAGGGAAAAAAGACAAGATCCCTTAGGTGCATCAGGCATATGGGAAGAGCATCCCAGATTTTTACAGACCAATCATCCCAGATTTTTACAGACCAATCAGCACCAGGCCAGGTGGGTAATGTGGTCAGCATTACGCCATGTTAAATCAGAAAAACTCAATAAATGTCCAGTTCTATGTAAAGAAAGGATCCAATAACTAGTGCTGTACCGAATAGTGATTTTCACTATTCGGCCGAATACGAATAGCTGGACCAACTATTCGGCCGAATACGAATAGTGTATCAGCATCACCAAGTGCTTTGCCGACTGGCATGGGCGATTATGCCTCGCCACAATCCGCGATCTCCTGCAGCATGTATTAGTTCGTGTGCTGACACACCTCCATGCCATGCAACAAGACTGTCAAGAATCTTCTCTCGTTTTCTTTCTCTATCCCTCCTTCCACAGATCTTTTCAGTGATCACCAAATGTTCCATTTTTCCTCATTTTATAACATGGCGGAAAAATGATTACTGTCTTCTTCTGATGTCTGTGAGTAGTTGTCTTCGGGCTCCCACCTCTTTTGAAACCTCTTGGTTGCTCTTTTTGGCTGTCTAATGTATTCTAAGCATTCTTCTGTAAAACCACATCTCCGAGGCCTTAAGAAATTGTTTGGCCTGCCTACCGATTGTCCAGGACTTACAGCCATATGTTAAAACTAGATGTATGTAGCAAGCGAGAATTCTTTTTCTAACTTTCAATGACAAAGATATATTGCATAAGATTAAGATGTTCTTCATTTTAAAAAATGCAGTTTGTGCCTGTCCTATTCTGTTTCTTATCTTAGCTATGCATTTTCCATCTGATGTTTTTCATGTGCCTAGACACTTAAAATTTCTGTACTTGTCCCAAAATAAAACCATTGACTTTTATTACACAGTTAGGAATACTTATTTTCTTTGATACCACCATTACTTCTGTCTTCCCACTATTCGAACTGAGGCCCATTCTTCCACTTTCGTGTATAAAATAGATCTTTAAAAAAAAAACATCCATAATGTCAAATGTACGCTGAAATTTTACTTCACAAAATGTGGTACAGAATAGTAAACATTTAAAAACATTTCATGTTTTCCATCCTTCAGTCAGTCAGTCTGTGGTAACTAATACCTAGGAATGAAAGTATTCTTAGTTTTATAACAAGTAACTAAACTTGTAAATTGTCACTAACAGCTTAGTTAATCCATGAAAGCGGCATTAGCTGTCCAAAAAAAATGTTTCTATGTTATTAGCATTAAGGCAGCTTCTTGTATCACTAAAGGTATTTTATTTCCAGCTGTACCAAACAAACGTTCACTTGGTACGTTCGTAGGTGGTGCACAAAGATAACGCTTAGCAGTATGAACCAAGGTGGGAAATCTTGATATGTTTATTTTCCACCAGTCTAGAAACGGGTAGTCCGGCTCTGTGGTTACGTCGATGCAAACGCTTCGCTTCGTAATGCCAGGATGCCAGGTTCGATCCCAGCGTTGGTTTCGACAGTGGTATCAAGAAAGCCGACCGTCCAGGGAACAATGGCAAACTTCTGGATGTAAATTGCCGAGAGAAACCACACAACAGCCAGGGGCTGTTATGTTGGTTCTGCAACGTCCTGTAAAGGATACGCAACTAACTAGAAACGGGTGTAAGGTAACCACAATTCGTATTCAGCCCGACCGCATCTATTCGGCCAAATACCGAATAGTTATTGAGTCCACTATTCGGCCCCAAAGCGAATACGAAGCGAATATTCGGTAAAGTCCTACCAATAACTTTGAGCCACAATCAGGCAGACATACCCCTCGGCGTCATTTTCTGATCAGTTACATCAAAGTAAAAGGTTACGGTAGTAAATTAAAATTACACCCCCCCCCCCCCCCCATGCATGAGTAGCTTTCTTTTGTTCGAGTGAGATAAATCTGTATAAATTTATGCTGTTCACACTTGACCAGCAATTTATAATCTTAGTGATTTATAGACTGGGGTTACTCAGCTTTAAAGTGACAGCTAGTGAAAATGGAGGGCATACAGAATAAAGCTATGCGGGTGATCCTGGGATGTACAAGAGATGCCCCAATTATGTGAATGCAATATATCCTTACATTGTCGACTATTGCAGATAGGCTCAAGGTGCTGTAATCTGGCATATCTCAGAGTACCTACAGACAAAGAGCACGCGCTGTATGAAGCATGCACCCAGATGCATGCTGGAGACCAAGTCTGACCTATGTAGGGTCCCATTTGGCCGGGAGTGCAGAAAGTGGCCAGCAGGTGCTACAGAGGGTGTCCAACAGTTGATTCATGACAATTTCCACCCAGATGATCTGATTATCTATACAGATGGTTATGTCTTGAGAGGAAAGAGAAGCGTGCAGGGATTCGTAGTGAAAGCCAGTAGAAAATCTTTGATGCAGGACAGCGTAGCATACAATACCACAACATCTAGCATGAAAATGGAGGTGGAGTCAGTCTCTGCAGCTTTTCGGTGTCTAGAGAACAAGATGCACACACATATCATAATTGTAAGTCTGAGAGCATGCTGAGAAAGGTGAAGACAGAGATGCTTTGAGCAGAGTGGCAAGCTTCACTGTGAAGGTCATGGGTAGTGAGTGAGCATACTCTGGATCTTTTCTCCAGGCGACGCCGGCATGGTGGGGAATTAACAAGCAGACAAGACTGGCTGGATCTGCACCACTGGGTGTGAATTAATACATGACAAAGCAGATATGGTCAAGGCCTTTTGGGAACATATAATAAAGTCAGAAGAGAAACTAGATTATTATGACCTTGAGAGAATGATGCAGCTGGGTGTAATTAGTGGGTCTGGCCGGCTAACTACACAGGAAAGGCAAGACAGACATGTAACCAGATTACAACCAGTACGATTAGTACTGGAACTGGACAGAGTGTGCATGGGGAATACCTCCGGTGCTGTGATGTTAATTCTTGACTCACTCAACTTAAATTTGAATAAATGTATGCCTGTTTACATAAAGCTATATTCTAGCATGTTGGCTGACATATTTGTTGACTGGGTGAATGTGTTTCCTTGGACATGATGCAGCCTAATTTGTGTGGTGTTCTCTTTGTACCTTAATCTACTGGTTTTGTTCCTGGAGAACACATCCAGGGTCAATGCGTGCCGACTGGTCGGCAATAAACAGAGGGCAAGAGCAGATCATCAGCATGCCCCACCATACACAGAATCTTTTGTTGGTTATTTGAGCCTAACCAGCAACTGACTGTGGCTATCATGGTGTATCTCACTCAACATGGTGATGATGGCGATAAGGGTAAACAGAAGATTATTGGGACAGTTTACGGCAAAAAAAAGGAGATATAGCTCGTCTGAGCTGCGAGCAAATCTTTTGGTTTAGGGCTGAGTTTCAGCAGTTCAGTGGTTCTTTCACCAGATATATTTTTAACAGAGAGTTATCATTTAGTGATTTATTTGACAAGGGGGCTTTACTGATGTTTGACAGACATTTTCACTCATGCAATTGCTGATGAGAACCAGAATGGACCCTACCTCTCATAGGGCCACCAGCTCGGAGATCCCCTGCCAGTTCTGTTAATGCTCATTTGAGACATTATCCCTAATGCACGACAGGGACCTGCAGCAGTAGTCTTGCATGAGTTTCCATAAAACCAGCACAAAGAAGGCTGGTACCCGAGGTGAGGTAAAGAGTATCTATCTCCTTATACACATCACATTGGACTTAATTGTCCCTCATATCTGTGATAGAAATCACCATGCTACACAACAAAAACAAGTTTTATACTAGTAAAACATGACTAGTAAATCTTATCTATACACCGCTTTTTCTTTCTCTCTATGTGCATTTGTGAATATGTAGCTGTCAGATTACATGTTTAGCCCTTCACAACTTTTGTTTGGCATGGGTTAGGAACCAACTCCCTCAAATGAAGTTAAAACCATGGCTTTTGTGCTCTACTCTTGTAATACCGATGCAGGGAAGATGTTTTATCTATACCCAACCACAAATGTACAGAACTTTTAAATGGCTCCTCTTACCTTCAGTGTCATCCTGAGTAGCTTCATCTATCGTGCGGAACTCATCACCAAGAACAACTGCAGGTTCTTCTTCGGCATTCCCATTTGTTTCTGTCTGTTCTGCATCTCCCCCATCATTTGCAGATTCTTCATTGCCTTCTGCCTGTACCTCCTGGTATAATCAACATTTTGTTAAATGCAGAAAAAAATATTTCCCATCAATGACTTCATCTTTTATTACTGACATTATTTCAACATCTAAGAAATGTCTTACTGCTTTAATTAGATGCATTTGAGTATAGAAAGGCTATTTCCTACATGACTCTTTCAGCAAACAAACAAAACAAAGTCAAAATATTATACTTAAGTTTGTGTGACACTGAATTTTCCATTATCTAGTAATTTAAATCAGAATGAATCAATTCAGCTGCTGATATTAATCTATTACATTGTGAAAGGTTGTCACATATATTCTTACTGTATTTCCTATAAACAAGTTAGATATTTTTTAACTGTCCGTACTGTGTGTTCATTGGTAATTATGTGTCCACTGCTTGCTGTTTGGTTGACTAAATTATTTCTGATGTGTGTTCTTTTATGTCATCATGTCACACTAACTTTTCTCTTGGTCACCTCTTGCCCTCTTTCAACTGTCTCATTGTCGAGTTTTCCCTTTCTTATGATGTGTGCCCCAGGAATGTGGATCATACTCCTGACCTTATAGCCCCGATAAGGCTATATCTAGTCACTTCTAGTTGTGAAAGTAACCTGTCCTATAAAACAAGACGTCAAATGCCATTGGTTCTATGTGCGACTGAGTAGTAGTGTTTAGGAGGCCAGCAAGTGAATACATCAACTAAATACAGCATTCAACGGGGTTCCCTTGTAAATCCAATAAGTAAAGTTAACCTAATTTTTTCCAAAATCCTCAATGATAGAGATCTCAGGGTGGCATCATGAATCACCTGATACATTATATTTAATGCTTCACTTTTTTCTTGTGATTATTGATTACCCTCTTTAAATATTTATATGTGTGTGCAGGTATGTGTATAAAAATATTTCAAAACAAAAATTGTAACAATTTAAAAAAAAATATTTTTAACAAGATTCTGTCCAGTTGGATTTTTTTTGCAAACTACACAGGTTTTTTTTACCCATTTACCGGGCGAAACGTGCAATTTTTTTTTAATCTGACTTGGTTAATACATCTACTGTCCAATAGAGAAGTATATATATTAATTTTGTAGACTTTGAGAAAGCTTTTCACAGCGTCCATAGAGACGGTCTGTGGAAAATTTTACGACATTATGGAATTCCAGAAAAAACAGTCAACATGATTGCTCTCTTCTATAAAGACTTTTCCCGCAGTATAAAAAATTACAATACATCTTTCCCAGTAAAGACAGGTGTAAGACAGGGATGTGTTATGTCATCTCTCCTCTTCAACCTTGTGATTGATTGGATACTAAAGAACACAGTAGACATGACATTAAGAGGCATACGATGAACTCCATTCACCATGCTTGAGGACCTTGATTTTGCAGATGAAATAGCACTCCTATCACATAAACATGAACATATACAAGAGAAAAGTAACAGACTACACTGCACAACAGAAGTGGTGGGACTGAGAACAAATATAAAGAAAACTAAGATCCTGACAAACAGTCCAAACCAACAACCAGTGACCATAAGTAACCCCAGTGACCATAAGTAACCAATCACTTGAAAATGTAGAACATTTCACATATCTTGGCAGTGTGGTGTCCCTACTGGGAGGGACAGAGGAAGACATACAGTCACGCCTGAACAAAGCTAGAGCTGCTTTTGGAAGGATGAGGCAAATCTGGAAATCCAACAGTTACTGCAGAGGAACAAAGCTCCGACTCTACAAGAGTATCATTTTGCCAGTTCTTCTTTATGGAGCGGAATGCTGGAGAATGACCAAAAAGGATGCACACAAGCTGTCCACCTTCCACCACACATGTCTATGTAGAATTATCAAAATTTTCTGGCCAGATACAATCTCAAACACTAAACTACTTCAAGCCACAAACCAAGAAACTTTAGACAGTATGATTACCAAAATCAACATGGAGACGAACGATGGAAAGTGACCTGAGTGCGGCATCTTTGACATGAAAAACTGCACTGAAGATTGCACAGGACAGGAAAGCATGGAAAGTCCTCTCTGAAGCCTCATGTACCACTAGGCATAACGAGAACTGATGTCCAATAGAGAGTGCTGCATGGTCTCGAGGCAGAGCGTCCTTGAGTGCAGGGGAGGGCAGGCTCAAGACCTGGTGAAGGATGGGATTGTTTTACTTGGACTTCTGGTAATTTCCCCTGGTCTCTGTGTAGTGAGATCAGACGCCAGTGTGCATTTTTGTGCATGTAAATAATCCCTTGGCAGTTGGAAATTTAAAAAAAAAAGAGTAGCCTAACAGCGCTGCCTCGGCAAAATTTGAAGTTTAAAAGTATTTAAGGATCCTCGCTGGCGCTACAGAGTTCATGCACTGCGCTGAGATTCTTAACCCAGTGTGTTAAGCATCACAGGCCCAAGGGGTAGCTTAGACAGACTAAAATCGGTGCATTATGCGTTCATTGGGCTTCTAGGCAGTAACCTATGAACGTATGATGTGTTCCTTGGGAGTCAAAGAGTTAAGACTCAGGCTTGAGTCAGAAATAGAACAGAGCACTTATGGTTACTACCCTTATACCATGATGATGATCCGTCATCTAAACCATCTTCTGTTATCACAGTGCCTTTGATTACTCAAGTTATTCTGACTTGCTTTAGATGTCTGTCACAACTGCTCTAAAGCTGCATTTTTAGAACAATTTTCTGCATGATTACCATTACTATTTCATACTATTACACATAATGCAATTACTAACGTAAGCAGGTATAATGAAAATCGTATGCCCTCCAAAAAAATTGATAATACATACTTCATCATCATGTGCTTCTTCGGTATCTTCTATGTGCTCTTCCTCCCCTTGCTCTTCCTCTTCTTCCTCCTCTCTTTCTTCAACATTGTCTCCACCTTCAGAGTATGCTTCGCCTACAAATGCAGTTGAAGTGTATTTTACTAACACACATTTGCATGCAAATATACAATCACATACAGGGGCAAAAACAAAACTATTTAAAAAAAAAACATTCTTACTCTACCATTTAATTTATAACAAAAATCAATTCACAATGAAATCTGATGGCAATGGGACTTCAAAACCATTCATTCCTCTGATTGTGCATGTCCACTTTTTAAACATACATGTACAAAATTTTATACTTAAGCTTCTTGAACTGGGCTCGTAGCCAAATTCGCCAACCATTTTCAAGGTGCTGACTTTTTAAAGGTTGTCCCAGGCATATGTGGTACTTGATTTGTGCACACAAATGCAGATATGCACACAAATGCAGATATACAATAACAGATATTGTGTTTTTCCTATCTTTTCTTTACTTGGTGGCAGAGGCGAGCCAGTAGAAGAAATGCTCATTACTAAAATTAGCAATACTAAATGCATGGTAGTCGAAAAAATTCAACTTTGCTTCCCATAATGATGCCGACAAGTCAAGGCGGATCACGTGCCACATGAAGGCTACATTGTGATACAAAGACAGATGAACTGACCAAAAAATATTGAGAATATTGTGCTCATAAAAGAAACATGACACACTATGAGCTTCAGTTACCTAAAAACCACATGAAAAATTATAATTTAATTTATGGAACACAAACTATACTAAAAGGAGAAAACACTAGATAAGAGAGGCAGAAAAAGATGTATGCAGAAAGTTCAACAGGTGGGTAAAATTAACTTCTGCAAAAGATAAGATGACAAAGTGAGATGAGAGATAAATAAAAGTGCTATCTGCTCTAGACCAGATACTTAAGAGAGAGAGAGAGAGACACACACACACACACACACACAAAGACACAGGAGGAAAGGGAAGTATGGAGACATAAAGAGGGGAGAGAAAGGCAGGCAGAGATAAGAGTGAAAGAACAAGAAGGAGGAAGATTGGTGGAGAGGGGGTGGGCCAGGTAAAAAGAGTGAGATGGAGGGAAAAAGATAAAGACAGAAAGAGGGAGGACAGGAGATAAAAGATATGATGGATACACAGAAAGGGATAGACGGAGGGTGATATAGAGAGGGAAGGGAAGCAATGGTGGTACAGACAGGGGGTGAGAGAGACTGGAAGGCAGAGAAGGTGGAGGGAGAAATAAAAACAGCAGGAGATAGATGGCAAACAGACAAAAGGGTACAAAGATGGACAAAGAGAGAAAGGGGAGGGGGAGCGGCAAGCGGACATTGAGAGATACCAAGGAGGAGGGCATGAAAGAAGCAGACACAAAGAGGTAGTGAGAGAGGCAAAGAGAAAGAGAGACAGATAAAAAAGAGATCCAGAAAGAGTGAGGAAGGGATAGAAAAAAGAGAGAGAAGAGGAAGGGACAGAAGAAGCATATAGTGTTGGCCATTTTTATATGTTAATGAGTCCCATACTACATCACATGTATGAGAAAATATAAGTAAGTCACAAATGGCAGAGTTCTTAGCCAAATTTACCAATCAATTTCAAGGTCCTTTATAAGGTATTTTTTAGTTTTTAAAAGGTTGTGTCACGGTAATACTGGCAAGGTATTTTTTGCCTTGTTCAAGGGTGTACCCAGCAAATACGGAACTTTATTTGTGGGTATACCTGCACATGTCTGTTCTAGACCTGGTACATTAGGAGGGAAGGGGATAGAGAGAATCATACAGAAAGGGAGGAAGACAGATGCTGATGAAGAGTGGAAGAGAATGTGCGAAAGACGAGTGGGGGAAAGAGGGACAGGTAGGTAGATATGGACAGATGAGGATAGAGGGATGAAATGAGACACAGGACATAGGGAAGGAGGAAAACAACAAAGAGAGGGAGGGAGAGAGAAGGTTTAGACAGAGAAGGAGATGCACGCAGAGATAATAAAATAGGGGGAGACAGACCGATATAGAAAGGCAAACAGAGGGTGAGAAACAGAGAGAGACAGAGCAAGAGAAGGAAGGGAGGTTGACACAGACAGAGAGAAAGGCAGTGATAAAGTGAGGTTAAATGCCAGGGGCACTAACAAAAAAAACCGATCAAAAGAAAAGAAAAACATTTCAAAAGAGAACATTGCA